CACACACACACACACACACACACACACACACACACACACACACACACACACACACACACAGACAAAGTGCACCTATGGCCGTCAAGGAACTTTGTCGGCTATGGTAGGATGGGTTGATCCTTGCACTCTACTCTCTCTCTCTCTCTCTCTCACACACACACACACACACACACACACACACACACACACACACACACAAAGTGCACCTATGGCCGTTAAGGAACTCTGTTAGCTATGGTAAGATGGGTTCACCCTTGCACTCTACTCTACTCTACCAGTCCAGTCCAGTCAGTCCGCTGGGGGTATATCACAGCTGCAGTCTATTTCAGTTTCATTCTTTACTTGCACAGTTTGGAGTACGTGCGTGTTGAGTCTGCGTTGGAGTTGCGCTGTCCCTTCCAACTCCATCCCCCCCATCCTCATCCCTTTGTCTTGATCTTGACGGAACGCCATACCGGCGGGTTCGTGCATTGGTATCAGAGCGGGAACTGTGTAATCCCGATAGCAAGATTTTGGGTCATTTTTGACCATTTTGCGAGCATACAGATGGGAAAAAGGTCCAGCGGCCAAAGAGTGACATGTGGTGAAAAAGGAGAGTGTCGGCACGACGTGTGCGGGCAAGCGCCAAGGTCAAGGTCACTGCACATGCATGCGCCACGTGCCCACGCTGCCCCGCTGCCCCGCCCTGCTCCCGGATTATATACCTGGGATGCATGTTGTTGCTAGGGGTTAAACCTGGGCAGCTGCCAGCTATGCGAGTGCATGGCCAGTGCCCTAACACACCGGTCAAACTCTATCCATGCTTTGGTAGCGTGGCACGTTTGTGTTGAAGAGTGTTAAACCAGCTATTTACTCCCCCGCGCAGGCGAGCAACGACCAACACGACAGCAGCGGGTGGGCTGCTATTTGCCCCCCCCCGCGTCGTGGTTGCTGCTGCCTACACACATGGCCATCTGCAGTGTCACGTGGCAGCTTGTTGAAGATCTCGAAGATCCCCCTGGCTAGGGGGCTGCACTACAATGGAATCTGGGTGGCTGATCAAGATCTCAACACACCCAGATGATGATGATGATGATGATGATAATTTTTTTTTCAATTGTTGTAGCGGTAATTTGGCAGCAGTAAAGACCCGCCTAGCTAGGGGGTTGTGCGACAGTGCAATCGGGGTGTTTGATCAATATCTCAACCAACCCTAGATTTTATTATTATTTTTTTTTTCCTGCTGCAGCAGCAGGCTGCCAGCACCTTGAAGGCCAAGATTTTGTGGATCTTGGTGATGTTGTTTGCTCTTGGTCAACCAAGAGCTTGGTATCTCCTTTCTTTCATTAACCTACTCTCCCACCCCCTCTCTCTCTCTCTCTCCCCTCCACCATCTAATCATATTTTTTAACTCTACCACTACTCCCTCATCCAACCTCACTCTTCTCCCTTTTTTTCCCTACTTCTCTCCTCCCCTTCCCACTATTCTCTCATACCCCTACCTCTTCACTAATCCTCCACCATTTTTCCCCCACCTCTCCTCCTTACTCACTCACTCTCTTGCACTAATATTTTCATGTCTCCACCTTTCCCATCCCTTTCTCTCCCATTTTCTCACCCCCCTCTCCCCCTTCCCTCCCCCAACTACAACCCCATCATCTCCCCCACCTCCTACTTCAATTTTTTTCTCTTTCTCACCTATTTCTCTCTTTCTTTATCACTTTTTTCATTCATTTCCCGCCAACTTCAATTTTTTTTGGTTTTTCGCCTTTTGTCTTTCTCTTTGATTTAAATTTTCTTTTCTTCTCCATAAATTTAAACTATCTTATTCCCTGCTTCTTTTCTCATTTTTTTATTTTCTGATTCATTTTATTTTTATTTATTCTGAATTTTTTATTTTTCTACGACACCTGTATATCTCGTTAGGACAGTCATTTCTGCTATCGACGCACATTTTGACTCCTTAGGGGTAACGAAGTGCTGCCGAAATTTTATCTTTTCTCCCTACTCTCTTCTTCTACATTTTGACCCTTTGGGGGTAGCGAAGTTCGACCCGTCGGGGTAACGAAATGCTGTCGAAATTAAAAAAAAATCCAAAACTTAGTTTTTTTTTTCACTCTTCTCCACCTCCTCATTTCTTTATCTTTTTATTTATTTTTCTGTAATTTAATTTGCGGCA